CAGCCTGTGGGGGCGATATGCTGACTCTGTAAACCGCTTAGAGAGGGCTGAAAGCCCTATGAAGCGGTATATAAGTCTAACTGCTATTGCTATTGATGTCCACACATCTTATAATGGCAGAAGGTTGGGAAACATTGTCTTATACCAAAGAGAATCAAAGCAGGTTTCTCGCTAACATCTTCCAATCCCAGACTTCATATTTCTCTACCTTTCCTCACCAAGGTCATCTCTATGATTCTCCATAATTCCCCTTCACTGGATTTCTAACTCTGTTTTCAACAACTCCATTACAGAACCATAAAAATCCCATTTCACATGCTAGGTCAATTTTTCAAGAATTCAATCTCAGCCATTACTAACCTGAAAGTTAATCCTGATTTGCTCTTCAGGTTTCTCAGAAGCTCGAGCTGATTCAAAGGTGGAATGAGCCTAAATTGGAAGAAATCCAAAATCAATTTCAGGGAGAGAGAGAGAAAGAGAGGGAGGGTGGGAGGGAGGGAAGGGTACACAGGAACCATCTCATGGAAAGTTTTTCCTTCCCTTGGGATTGTGTGTCTGTACCATATACTGCAAATGCAGAAGAACGGGAGATGAGTTAGGAATTTTCCATCTCTAGATGTGCTCCCAAAGCAGGATGAGAAGATAAAACTAGCATTAGAAAGAAAGGAGGTGTCTCAAATGGATGACTGACTGAAAAAAAACTAATGGAATTAGCAGAGATGGATAAAGTGTCCGCCATAATCAAAGGAAAAACACATCTAACTTTGTTTCTGCTTGGAAACCATTTCTGGACTTTGTGCTTGGGGTAAAAAAAAATTAAACTCTGATTTGGGGTTTTGATGATTAGTTTTGTTGTTACAGAAATGGCTATTATATTATTACACTTACTGTATATGTGTAGTATATAGTACTATATATATATTGTACTATATACTACATATAGCCTCAACTTTTTCAAAGTAAAAGTTAACGTATTTTTCAGAGTATAAGACGCACCAAGATTTTGAAGAGGCAAATTGGAAAAAAAAGGTTTTGCACTCTGCAGACCGCCCTTAAAGGGCCCGTTTTTGTCCAAAAAAGGGCATGCATAGCCTTTAGGAGGCTAGTAGAGTGCTCCTGGGGGCTNGTTTACTACTTTTAACGTCCATTCTTGAATAGTAGGCAATTCTTCCTTCTTCCAATATATGCGCCAATTATATGCTGTTTTCATAACCATCACATATTTTCAAACAATTAAAACTGAGACAAAGGTGATGATCCGGGGACTTGTGCAAACAAAGCTGGGGAACATAGGCTTTATAATTCCTTCCAAACTCTCCCTTCTATTCTGGATGTCCCATTTACACAGCAAAGGATAGCAGGCTTTGACAGATGACTAAGCCTAAATTCCCACAGGCCTGGAGATTTGCAGCCATCTGACAAAACTTGCTTTGTCTTGTGCGCACAAGCAAAGAGAAAGTGAGTTTAAATAATTAAACCACATTCCCATAGGCAGAATACGTACATTCACAGTAGCTATTTAAACTTACAGGCTTACACAAGGGAAGTAGAATGAGAAATGGCTAAACCTGCATTCCTGTAAACAATCAGCGATGGACCTTGAACGGGAATGTAGAAGCTGGTAGCAAAACATGAATTAATTCTGGAAAAATCGGATTTCATAAAGTAGAGTTGCAGTCAGAGTGGGAAATGCAAATTTTTTTACTACCGGTTCTGTGGGCGTGGCTTGGTGAGCATGGTGTGACTTGGTGAACGTGGCAGGGGAAGGATACTGCAAAATCTCAATTCCCACCCCACTCTGGGGCCAGTCAGAGGTGGCATTTGCCGGTTCTCTGAACTACTCAAAATTTCCGCTACCGGTTCTCCGGGACCTGTCAGAATCTGCTGGATTTCACCTCTGGTTGCAGTGTTTCTAATGGTGTCTGCTTCCCAATTTAGCCTACCTCCTTCTTAAAAGACTCACTGTTTCCTTTCTTCTTATATCAGTGTTTCCCAACCTTAGACTTTTTAAGAAGTGTGGACTTCAAGATATGTGGACTTCTGGGAGTTGAGGGGGCGCAATGGTTAGAGTGCTGTACTGCAGCCACTTCAGCTGACTGTTATCTGCAGTTCGGCTGTTCAAATCTCACCGAC